AAAGCATAACACTTGCTGATAAAGTACACTACATAAAATATAATACTTGAAAATGTACTTTTAAAATACCAAAGCACCTAAGGAAAAAGCTGCCACACTCGCCTTCAAATAAACAGGAAAATTAAACCTTACTTAGTAAATCCACAATTGCCTAACCAAGGGCCACTGTAAAACAAGAAAGGTTTTGAATTCACAAATCAAGTTATAGATTTAAAATGAACTATCATGTTAAGTTCAAAATGACTGCAAGGTCTTCATGTTCATTTCAACACAACACTCACCCTTACAATGAGCTTTCATTAATTTCACACCAACTGATCATTTTGTTGTTGTTGTCTGAGTTAGGACTTGTGTCTTGTAACTGGTTTTGATGACTTGAATAACACTTAGCTTAGACCCAACACACAAGACTAAAAATCAAACTCGCTGCCAGTGAGTCAATTCTGACTCATGGTGACCCTACAGGACAGCAAAGAACTGTACTTTCCATAGAAACAAAAACCCTCATCTTCCTCTTACAGAGAGGGACTGGTGGTTTCAAACTACTGACCTGGGTTATCAGCCTAATGCATAACCCACCATGGCACCAGGGTTCCTAACATACAGGAAGTCCTCATAAAAACATGTTAAGAATTATCTTCAACTCAAAATTCTGAGTATCAAGGTCATAATTGGAATGCAGTGTTTTTCTTAAAACATGCAATTTTGAAACTCAATAAATCAAGACTATCATAAGGTAAAACAAACATTCTAATTGTTAAATAATCAGTGGTGAGGAGGCCTGGTAAGGTGTAACCAAGGGTAATATAATCAAGAGGAATTACTGAAAGCCAAATGAAGGCTGAGCATGATAGTGGGATAAGAGAAAAGTAAAAGGAAATAGAGGAAAGAACTAGGAGGGCAGAGGGCATTTATTAGAGGTCTAAATAAAGGCATGTACATATATAAATATATTTATATATGATGGGGAAATAGATCTATGTGTATATATTTATAGGTCTAGCATTAAGGTAGCAGATGGACATTGGGCCTCCACGCAAGTACTCCCTCAATGCAAGAATATTTTGTTCTATTAAACTGGCATTCCATGATGCTCACCCAACACACAATCCCTGAAGGCAAGCATGGGTGCATAAGCAAATGTGGTGAAGAAAGCTGACAGTGCCCGGGGTCTTAAAGGCTTGAAGGTAAACAAGTGGCCATCTAGCTCAGAAGCAACAAAGCCCACAAGGAAGAAGCACACCAGCCTGTGTGATCATGAGGTGGCGAAGGGATCAGGTATCAGGGCTCAAAGAACAAAAAATCAAATCACTGTGAATGAAGGGGAGTGCAGAGTGGGGACCTGAGACCCATCTGTAGGCAACTGGACATCCCCTTACAGAAAGGTTGTGGGGCGGAGACGAGCCAGTCAGGGTGCAGTGTTAACAATGATGAAACATACAACATTCCTCTAATTGCTAAATGCTTCCTCTCCCCATCCCCCACCCCACCCCACTATCATGATCCCACTTATACTTTACAAATCTGGCTAGACCAGAGGATGTACACTGGTGCAGACAGGAACTGAAAACAGGGAATCCAGGTCAGATGATCCCTTCAAGACCAGTGCTGAGAGTGGCGATACTGGGAGGGTGGAGGGAGGGTGAGGTGGAAAGGGAGAACTGATTACAAGGCTCTACATATAACCTCCACCCTGGGGGATGGACAACAGAAAAGTGGGTGAAGGGAGATGTCAGATAGTGTAAGATATGACAAAATAATAATAATAATTTATAAATTACCAAGGCTTCATGAGGGAGGGGGGAGCGAGGAGGGAGGAGGAAAAAGTGAGGAGCTGATACCAAGGGCTCAAGTAGAAAGCAAATATTTCGAGAATGATGATGGCAACAAATGTACAAATGTGCTTGACACAATGGATGTATGTATGGATTGTGATAAGAGTTGTAGGAGCCCCAATAAAATTATTAAATTAAAAAAAATTCTGCCACCATTCGTGTTTTAAACTTTCTCTGCCACAGTCAGTCACAATTCTGACTCATAGCAACCCCATAGGACAGAGTAGAACTTCCTAAACAGCCCAACATGTAACCACTATGCCACCAGGGCATTAAGCTGCTAACCACAAGGTCAGTGGTTTGAAATCACCAGTTGCACCTCAGGAAAAAAGACAAGGCTTTCTATTGTTGTAAAGAGTTACAGTCTCAGAAACCCATAAGGGCAGTTCTACCCAGTCTTATAGGGCCGCTATGAGTTGCAGAATTGACTTGGTGGCAGTGCAATTTGGTTTTTTGCAGTTTATTCTTATTTTAAAAAATATGTTCCTACCCCCCAAACTCCCACAAGGGGAATGAACAACTGAAACATGGGTGAAGGGAGACCGCGGATGGTGTAAGATACAAAAGCAATAATAATTTATAATTTATCAAGGGTTCATGAGGGTGGGAGGAGGAAGAAGGGAAAAAAGAGGAGTTGATACCAAGAGCTCAAGTAAAAGAAAATGTTTTGAAAATGATGATGGCAACATATGTATAAATGTGTTTGATACAAATGATGTATGGATTGCTATGAGTTGTAAGAGCCCCCAGTAAAATGAGTTATTTTTTAAAAATGCATTTCTGCTAAAAAATCTGGAAAATGTCTTGAATTTCATATAAACAATTTACACTGAAATGATTTAAGTGTTCAGGTTAAAAACAGCCCAAGGAAGGCCCCCATTAGAATGGAAGCGGAAATGTTTACATGTGTCAGTCACTATTGTGACCCTCTCTTCTCCCCAGTGCCTTGAATGGGGCTTGACGCACAGTAGGATCTCAGTTAGTGTCACTGTATGAGGAGCCCGTAGTACAAACAACCTGTCGGTTCCCACCAGCACAGCACCCACGCCAAAAGAAAACCCAAAGCAATCTCATGCTGTACAGATGCAAAATGTTCTCCATAGAGACCTGCTTCAGAAGAAATGTCTGGCGGTTTACTTCTGAAAAAGTACCACTGACAACCCTCTGGAGCACAGTTCTACTCTAGGCACAACTCAACAACAGCAGATTTTAGAGAGCCAAGGAAAAGAAGAGAGAGGCTCAGGGGAACTGACCTCGGACTCTGCCTTCACACACAATGCCCTAGTTTGCTCATTGTCTTGCAGCCACCAATTTAGAGATTCATTTAGGTTAGCAAGTCTCCTCAATTATGAGTCCAAAAACTACTTAAACCTCTCAACTGCCTTACAAGGAAAATGACATCACCATTCCATTTCATAGATGAGGAAACTGAGGCTAAGCATCACATGACTTCCTCAGCGTCACACCGTAAAGGTACAGCACAGGCTAAGAACTTTCAATCCTCCAAGGCTACTTCCCCATGATAAGGACAGACTTTCATGCACATACCGTATTTGTGCACATTTGTCCCTAATAGCTTCCTCAAATGATGGGGCTTGTGTCTGGGGTGGCAAGCAAGCAAACAAGTTGTTTTAGTACCAAAAATACGTTAGAGACAAGGATCTAGTGATCAGAGATTTGGGGTGCCTGAAACACTCCCAAGATAAACCACAGATTTCAAAACACTGCACAGGGCCAGCCCTTGCCCAGAACAGCTTGCCTCTCTTCCTCTTCCTACCCTTCCACGTGACCCACACGGTTCTCCAAACCAGAAAATAGGCTGTCATTGTTAGTATCAGTTTGGCATAATTCTGTGTCCCAACCCCCCGTGACTGGCACAGAGCAGGCATGCAAATATTTAGTGAATGAATGAAGGACAGAGTTGTTTCTGTGACCCTAGCTGCAGCTTTTTCATAAAGTGGAGGAGAACTGTACCTTCAAACTCCCAAACCCAGTGTCCTCAAGTGGATTGCAACCCTATAGGGCAGGGCTGATGGACCAGAACCAGCAGTCGAGTGCTTGACCACTGCACCACCAGGGCTCCTTAAGGACCTGGTAATTGGTGTACAAATGAATTTTTAAAAAGCAGGTAAAAGTTGGGTATGGGTTACAAGGGCACATATGGACTCTTTCCCCCAGTCTGCGTGCCTCCCGAAGACACTGTCCCATTTTAGCACACTGTAAGCACGTGCCGTTTTCACATTTTCAAATATAAAGACAAGCACCATTACTTTACCTCCGCTGCCCAGTTTAGGTCACCTTAAATTCTCTCAGCATGGCCAGGGTACCCTGAGAGTGGGGATGAAGATAGACATTTTCCAAAAATTCCAGTGTCACACACACACACAAATACTTCACTCTGTGGGAAAACTTTCCTTAAAATCATGGCAAGTCATTTATATCCAAATCTCTGTTCTTTGCTGAGTTACTACCTAAGCCGAACCCACGTTGAGAGGAAGAAATCAAGAGAAGCCAAATGGCTTCAAAGACAGTTCTCTAAAAAAAAGTACCTATTTCTCCTACAGACTTGGCTACTAGCTCCTATTGGTATCAGATTGGTCATAATGTGAGATTTTCAGGAGTCACATTACAGTAAAACTACTCGGGCCCGAACGAGAAAGCAACAGGAAAGATGCCCATTTTCCCTTCCACCCCTCCTCTAGTTTGCCATTTAAGAGAAACGGCACGTTTTTGCCTTCGCAAAGGCCTCATCCTTGCAGATCCAATGCAGTGTTAAGTCCGTGATGTCGGAACAAACCTGCGGATTCCCCAACCCAGGTTCAAATCCCATCCATCAGCAGTTAGTTTTGCGCTTTCCCATCACCTCCTTTGTCTGCGCTGTCCCTGAAACTCGCTGTCCAATGCCCTCCAGTAAACACGCTACCGACACGACAAAAAGGTTCGGAGTCTAAACAAGAAGGCACAAAACGCAGTTGCGCTTCTCCAGCCTTGCTCCGCACCGTGAGCAGGCCGGCTCTGCTCCGAGGACCCTCGATCGGGGCCGCCAGCCCCGCGTCGCCGAGCGGCAGAGCCCGGGCTCCGGGCGTCTAGCCCGACCCCCGCCCCGAGCAGCCGCCCCCGCACGCCCGGGACCCCCGCCCGCCGCCGCTCCCGGTGGGGACTCACCGCCGTGGATGGGCAGCGGCGCCAGCACCTGCCCGCGGACCTCGGCCTTGGGCGAGTCGAGCCCGTAGCGCCCGCGGTCGATGCGGAACGTGAGCGGGGCGCCGCGGCCAGGCTCCTGCACCGTCACGTTGATGAGCGCCGTGTAGTACTCCTGGCTCGCGTTGTCCGCCCGAACCGGCCACAGGCTGCAGGTCAGCAGGGCGA